TAGTCTATTTCTTTTTATTTTTTTAACGCAGAGCTATTTGTGTTCATTCTTTTTCCTTATCGTCCTCAAATTCGCATTACATTCTGCCTTTACTTCAGCTTCCAGCTTCAACTTTATGCCTTCGCTTTAATATGTACAAAATATATAAAGTGATAAGTATTTCGATTTTATCAATGAGCTGAAGAAATAGCTTGAGCCTTCAATAAAAAAGGGGGATATTTAAAAAAAGAAAGTAATTATCGGCGACTTTATCAGACCTAACCTGACATCTTGGTTTCAGTTACTTTCCTACCGACATAAGTTAGCTTCTCCATGCCTTTTCTGTAAATCATTTACGGTAACTATTTCGATGAAATTTCTTCGCTTGTACGTCGTCTTCATCGACTTTAAGCCCATTACTAGATTGGCATCTACGTCTCTTAAATTCACTATTGGCATTGCTGGTTGTAATATTAAATTCAGTACAAATAGTTTCTTCTCTTACGCTTCTCGCTTGTAGAATTCACTTCCTTCGCCCTGCTTTTCTGTCAACTACGATTTTCAATAATTTAATTGCAATTTCAGTTGTCATCTTCTGTCTCTCTGAATCATGTTTTTATTGCCGTCTGTGTTTCAATTCGCTCTGTGTAACACCTTTCACCCTAGAGGCTAAGCATGGGTTAAAATGATTAAAATATACCAGCGCTATCCTTCTAGACTTCTTCCCAACCAAAATTAAATACGACAGCTGTGGTAGAAGAGACGAATTCATATATTTCATGAGATTTTTTTTTTTTTCAAATGTGAACCTAACGGATTTTTAATTCGCCAAACCTATCCTATTTTGTTTATTTAAACTATGGGGTGTTAATAATAATAATAATAATAATAATAATAATGTTTTCTGAGTGATTTGAATTCTGGGAGAGATTTCTATTACTTTGCGCACTATTTAATATTTATCACACATGAGACGTGAAGGAGAGTCATGGCAGTCGTTTTCAAATTCTACACATTACATTCTATTTCTTTGAACTCGCCTTGCCTCAACAACATCCACTATTTTACAGATCTTATTCTTGATGCTCTTCTTGATTTTCTTCTTCTTCTTGATGATCTTTTTCTTCTTCTTGATGATCTTTTTCTTGATCTTCTTCATCTTCTTCATCTTTTTCTTCTTCTTGATGATCTTCTTCATCTTTTTCTTCTTTTTGATGATCTTCATCTTCTTCATCTTTTTCTTCTTCTTGATGATCTTCTTCATCTTTTCTTCTTCTTGATGATCTTCTTCATCTTCTTGATCTTCTTCTTGATCTTTTTCCTCTTCTTGATGATCTTCTTCATCTTTTTCTTCTTCTTGATGATCTTTTTCTTCTTGATAATCTTCTTGATCTAGTTGAAAATATTTTCTTCTTACGCTTCTCGCTTGTAGAATTCTCTTCTTGATGATCTTCTTCATCTTCTTGATCTTTTTCTTCTTCTTGATAATCTTCTTCGTCTTCTTGATCTTCTTGATGATCTTCTTCATCTTTTTCTTCTTCTTGATGATCTTCTTCATCTTCTTGATCTTTTTCTTTTTCTTGATGATCTTCTTCGTCTTCTTGATCTTCTTCTTGATGATCTTGATCTTTTTCTTCTTCTATGTGTCGTGTCCCTTCATAATCTTGGTGAACATGGCTTTCCAAAATTTTCTGTCCTCTGCGTCTCTTAATAACTTTTGGCTTTTTGACACCTCTCCCAAAATATGTTCCGTCATCCCTTCACTTTAACTCATCAAATAGGCTATACTTTGCTTTCCCCTGTGTTTCCTACCTTCATTCTGTCCTGTGAGTCTCAAATTTTCGACGCCCTCCTTCCGTATTATGTACACCAGAAATATTACTTGTCTCTTCCAGATGTATATGCCTTTTTTTGCTATGGTCTCCAGAACTTCGTCGTTGAAAAATCTATCTCACTTCCACAAATCACCAACATTTGTTATTCTCGTTTTATTCTATAAATATTCTCTTAATACTGATGCCATAATATATGTTTTACGGTTGCTTGGGCTATATTTCCCCCAAGAGAATTCTAGTTGGTTTTATTCAGATAATTCCATTCGCAGTAACAGTGAAAATATTACAGCTTTCCTATTTGAATTTTCTGATGGAACCTAATTCGGAATTTAATGATTGAATAAGCTCTTTACGAGATTAACGACTATAAAATACGAATGTAAATTCCTCTATTGCATCTTTAGATACTTGTGCTGAATGGCTTTAATAAAATATAGCAATAAAAATCATCAGAATGAATGCAAGTCCATATTTAACAAGTAAACGGATACAAATGAAACATTTAAAAAATGACAAGTTTTGTCTCTTCCTTGAAACAGACGTTAAATGCATGAAATCTTTCTTTTTTCTTGATTTTTTCTGTCTTTCCTTTCTTTTTTCATCTTATTACCTATGCTTTCTTTTCTCACAGTAAAACCAAGCGGTGTCTCCGACATATTTTCTACCGTCGTTCGTCGCAAACAAGAAAAAAAGGTCCATAATTCATCCGAGGATATGGCAAGACTTAACGCGCGTAAATTACTAAGGAACGGGAAAACAAATAAAATATGATTGTCATATGTATGAAAAAAATCGGATTGCTAAATCATTCGAAATAAAATCTTCAAATATATAAAATACAGAACAAAAGAAATAAATAGCAATGGATTAGCAACCTAATCTCACCTAATGATATATTCCTTTGTTACAAATTATTTATGATTGTCCTCGTATAATTACAAAATCTCCTACAGAATGTTGCGACGTAACGTAAGAAGAAAGGACTAAGAATAAACAACAAGAAGACAGAATGCATGGTCATCAATAAAAGGATGAGCCCGAAATGCGATTTGCAGGTCGGAAACACTAGAATCAAGGAGACGGGGAAGTTTAAGTACATGAGAAGCGTCTTGACAGAGGACGATATGTCCGACACTGAGATGGGTAGATGTAATGGGATGGCCAAAGAAACATTCCAAAAGCTGGTCAGAGTATTGCAAGACAGAATGAATTCTTTGGTAACCAAAAAAAGATACTGAGCTGTTAAGTGACATCTGTCCTTCTTTACGGCAGCGAAAGTTTGGGCGATTTCCCAAAAGGTGAAGAAGAGACTCGATTGGTTGTACAGAAGGATGCGAAAGATATCATGGACTAAGAGTGTGAGCAACAATAAGGTCTTAAAGAGGGTGCAAACAAGGAGGAGGCTTATACCTAATATCAGGAACAGGCAGCTGAAGATACAGGGACACATAATGAGGAAGGAAGGCCTGGAGAATCCGATACTCACGGGTCGAATAGAGAGAGAAGAGAGACAAGGGAAAACAATGCATTACATACCTGGCGGGCTTAAGCAAATGGATAACAGAACGTGGTCTGGGGGAGGAAGCAGAAGGAAGGAACTTGTTGAGAGCTGCAAGGGATAAAGAGATGTGGGGAGCCATGATCGCCTACGTCTTGAAAGGACATAGTACAGTGAAAATAAAAGAATAATTACATCTAATAACACAACAACAAAATATCAAATTATAAAAAAAATTGTGGAGCAGAATCCGTGACGATAAATATATAAAGTTACATCAGGATTGTTGTATTGAAATGTTTCTGTTTCTTCTTCTTCTTTTTCTGTTTCTTCTTCTTCTTCTTCTTCTTCTCCTGTTTCTTCTTATTATTCTTCAGTTTCTTCTTCTTCTTCTTCTTCTGCTTCCTCTTCAGTTTTTTTTCTTCTTCTTATTCATTTTCTTCTCATTCTTCTTTTTCTTCTGTTTCTTCTTCTTCTGTTTCTTCTTCCGTCTGTTCTGTTTCTTCTTCTCCATCTTCTTCTTCTGTTTCTTCTTCATCTTCTTCTGTTTCTTTTTCTTCTCATGTTTCTTCTGTTTCTTCTAATTCTTCTTCTGTTTCTTTTGTTTCTTCCGTCTCTTCTGTTTCTTCTTCTTCATCTTCTTCTGTTTCTTCTTCTTCTTCTGTTTCTTATTATTCTCCTGTTTCTTCTGTTTCTTCTTCTTCTTTTTCTGTTTCTTCTTCTTCTTCTTCTCCTGTTTCTTCTTCTTCTTCTTCTTCTCCTGTTTCTTATTCTTCTTCTTCTTATACTTCTCCTGTTTCTTATTCTTCTTCTTCTGTTTCTTCATCTTCTTCTGTTTCTTCTTCTTCTCCTGTTTCTTCTGTTTCTTCTTCTTCTTCTGTTTCTTCTTCTTCTTCTTCTGTTTCTTCTTCGTCGTCTTCTGTTTCTTCATCTTCTTCTTCTGTTTTTTCTTCTTCGGTTTCTTCTTCTTGCTATAATTATTGTGTTTATCTTTTCTTTTGTAGTACGAGTTGCCCCAATCTTAACCATATACTTCAAGAAACATGTTTTCGTATCAGAAGATGCAAACAATTGAGGTACCATGCAATCAGAGAGAAAGAGACAGAGGGAGAAAATTATACAATTCCAGTTATTGTATGCAGATAAATCTACAATCTACTTATTTTCTCAAGCGTTTATAGAGATATATTTTTGTCAACTCGGTCTGCTACATCTATCAGAATACATGTCTTTAAAACATGATTTTTCATGGGTTTTCAAAATATTATTAGTATTAAAGAAATGAATGATCTTTTCTTTTACTAATAACTGTATATTTCTATTCAATTGTCGAAATAATTATTTTAGCATCACGACAAATAAGACGTAGGCAAATGCAAAGTGAAAAAAAAATCATAATATCAGCTTTCTACCTGAAGATGTTTTTGTTGTTTGCCACAGTTATTACGAAAATAAAATGAAATTAACAAAAACCTAAGGTTTATTTGGTTTACAGAGAAACAACATGATTCTCCCTCCCATTCGTCGTCTTTTGTCATAAATCGCATCCTCGTTTTATTTCCCTTTTCTCCTCAAATGAAAGGTTCAAAAATGAAATTTCTGAGTAGTTCACACGTTTCAAAAATCAAGTTAAACGTGATTTGGCGTCGTAGTCTAAAAAATCGAACACACAAATATTTTTTCTTTTCTTATATTTTACGATTTTTGGTAATAAAAAAGATATAAAAATGGGTGAAAAAGAACGAAAGTAATATAACGGAGAAAGAAAGAAAGAAAGAAAGAAAGAAAGAAAGAAAGAAAGAAAGAACGAATGAATGAATGAAAGAAAGAAACATTGAATTGGGACGAAAATGGGAAGCTAAAGCGAGGAACAATTTGAAGGAAAGACATAAAAGGAAACATTGAAGATAAATAATAAAAAAAAGAAAGAGAAACAAGCAAAAAATAGGTATAGATTGTAAGAAAATATATAAATAAAGAAGGAAGGAAAGAAAGAAAGACAATGAAAGAAAGAAGCGAGAAGAAAGGAAGATATAAAGTTTAAAAGAAAGGAGGAAAGAGTAAAAGTAATAAAAGAACAAGTTTAAAGAAATAGCGAAAAAGAAAGGAGGTAAAATGAATGAAAAGAAAACCATAATAAAAAGAATAAAATTAATAACGAAAGACAGTAATAACAAAGAAAGAAAGAAAATAGAAAGAACTACTAATTTCGGAAGAACTATAGTGAAACAAAAGGAAGAAAGAGAAGATGAAACAAAAATGAACGACAGGAAGCGAAAAGAGAGAAGAGAAATCTAGAAACAAAGACGGAAAGAAATAAAATATGTTACAGGAAATAAAGAGTGTTCAATAGAAATAAATAAGGAACATAGAAACCGAAACAAAATGGACGAAATTCCGGAGAAATAACAGAAAAGAAAGCAAGCAGATAGAAATGAATGCGTGAAAGGAGAGAGAGAAAGAGAGAGTGAGTGATAGAGAAAGAGGAACCAAAAAAAGTAAAAAAAGAAAGGCAGTAGATAGAGAAAGAGTGGCAGAGTAAAATAAAGCTGGTAAATAAAGAAAACAGGAAAATTATGTTATTTATAGAAAAAGAAAGATAATGAAGTACATATTTAGACAGACGTAATCTAGAAGCAAATTCTAATATGCAAATCAAGACACGAAACTGAAGAAATGAATTCTTTATTGTTTAGTTTTATCCATAAGGGAATATCAAAAGACATATTTATATGCAATACTGAGGCGATGTATTCGACGAATGAAACCTCATTTCTCAGGTACCCAAGATAGAATTTTATGGTTAAAAGTATCACATATCTGGGTCAAAGACATACAAAAAACCGGAATTATTTTATGTGTCATTCTTAAAACTAATCTCCTAAGTTTTTTTTTTTTAATTTATTTATAAAAATTTGCGTTTTTTTTTTTAGATATCAACCCGAGAATCGTGTGTCTGCCCGGATTTTTTTTTATTTCATTGTCGATACAGTTTTAATCGTTTTTGTATTCAATTAAATTATTTTATGAAACTAAAGATTATCGAAGCAGTAACATTTTTAATTGTTACATAATGTCAGTCCTCCTGTATGGCGGTAAATGCTGGACAATCTCCTCACAGATGAAGAAGAGACTTGAAGCAACAGAAATGTTGTTCTACAGAAGGATTACACTTGAATATTTGAAGATTATAATCATCGGGGAAGCAAGTAAGGGGAAGTGAGTTCCCCAGACGGGAAGTGCGGGAGAAAAAGCTGTTTGAGAAAAAGAGACGGTTATATCTAACCGTTTTGACAGTGAAAAGTTAAGAACGAGATGCCAGCCTGTTAGGACGTTTAAATTCATGAAGTCCGGGAACCAGAGACAGTAATTCGTCGGAACAGTTGCCGTGAAAATATTTGTAGAAGAGACAGAGGGAGACCACAGCACGTCTGTGGAAAGGCGATTGTAGACTAGATGCCAGATCAGGACCTATCATCTTGCATATTCGTCTCTTGATTTTGTCAAGGACCTCAAGACAAATAGTGGGAGCACCAGATCATATATGACAACAATATTCGATGCAAGGACGGATTTTTCCCCATGTCACGCTTTCCTTCAAATATGTCCTATCAAGTAAATTGTCCAAATTTTCTTTTTTCACCATGTTTCACCTTTCTGTTTTTTACGCATAAGTGTCCTCGATGACGTTCAAAAGGTTTTTGCGTCCTTGTGGGTGATGAATTATTTTCCATTCTCTAAACTCTTTACCACAGACAAAATTTCGTAAACCTCTATCAATATTTCCATTCCTTATTTCCTTATTTTCACCAGTCATAATCTCAGGCTAAGCTCTGGCAGCTCACGCACATTGTAGTGAACCGCCCTCATAGCATTTATATCCCATTGGCGAGATTTAAGTTCTATTCAAATAGCTTCTTCCGACGAACCATTTTTCATTTGATATACATGACATATTCCAACGAAACGCTACGTTGTGGAACTGACTCCCAAGATGATGCTTCCTCGATCAATACAATCTTAACTTGATCAATACAAAATTAACCTATATCATAATTAAACATTTCGCAACCACTTCAACTATTACCCGATTAATGTTTCAGTATCTTTTTAACTTTTGAAGGTTATTGTATCCCATATTAGAAAAATACCCGGAAATCATGAATCGACAATGAAGACAATTTCGAAAAACCATAATCATTACCAAACTATTTGTAATGAAAATTTCCATTCTGGTGTAAATTTGTATGCGTATTTCGGAAATAATAATATATGTATGCAGGAGAAAACCGTTTAGTAGTTATCAACAATACAAGTTCGGCCACATTCGCGTCGCGGTTACAGCTCAACCGCCATTACTGGCTTTGTTTACATATGTTTGCCTAGAATATTAATGCGCAGAAGCTTCACTCGTTTTGATTACAGCACAGTGCACGAATAAAGAAAAGATAATCAGTAAAAGGCCGTTAACTCAGAAAGCTTCCGCGCATTACTATCGAGGCAAAGGTATGTAAACAACGCCAATAATGGTAGCCAGGGTAGACGCGAATAAGGCCGAACTTATATCGTCAATAACTCCTAAACGATTTTCTTCCGCAAACTTTTATTTTTATTTTGGAATTAATCAGGCAATTTCACACCAGAATGGAAATTTTCATTACAATTGTTTTCCGGGGCAAATTTACCTTATAAAACTAAAATTATAATTCAATCATTTTTTTTAAATGTATTATTTATTAATTTGATTCATAAAATAAAATCATAATTTATTCAGATAAGAATAAATAAATATAGGTTGACTGATAAACAATCTACGATTAAAAACCTGTTAAATAAGCATGAGATTTTTTTTTTTTAGTGCTATGCAAGAATCATAAATTTTCAAAATTCGGGCCATCGTTGATCTGTCTTAATATGGTGCGAAATGTTTAGTAGGTGAAAATTTCACCTTGTAAAAATATTCAACTCATCCACAAAGAAAACGGAAATAAACTGGAGAAAATAAAGCAGATAATGTTTAAATCCAAAACTTCAATATTCTAGAAATTTTTGAGATATTTTTCAAAAATTGTTTTATATATTTTAGTTCAGTTACTTCCAGTTTTATCTTCCTTGTGATAGGGACAGGATACAGGGAGATTTCTTACTAACTTCCAGCCACGGACTGTTACACTAGGCTGCTACTCAGACTATCATGCGGATTCTGACTTTGTCAGATAAGTTACGTGATTTGTTTTCTTTTTATTTACAACTTACGCACATATATCACAGACAAATCGCCTGCAATTATTTAACAGAATATTTTCGATTTAGACTTAAAGTTTGTTACTGGAAGAGTGTATATTTTCTAATGACTTAATATCTATACATGATGAGAAGTTGACATTTTACAGGTTAATAATTTGATCCGTAAATAATAATTGATTTTCATTTTAAATTTGTATCCACTAAGTCGGCATATCCTATCTTATTAATCATTTTAGGTAAAACGTTTTATTTTGCCTGAAACTAATTAATTAAGACTATATTTTCCACTTTACTATCTTTCCTTTTTTTCATTTTACCAAATTATAATTTATATGAAATTAAAAAGATTATTCAGAAAGATTGCAATGGAATTCTTTAGCTTCAAAAAGAGAAATAGAGAAATCACTTTCAGTTGAAAACATCTTGCTTCATCGTATTATTCACTCATAAATAAAAGAAGACGACGAACAATGGATTATATTTTCGACCAACTGCCTCTTCAAATACGTGTCTTCTTGCAAGGAACAGCGCATGCAAATAGTTTCGATTACAATGCTTTAAATGCAGCGGAGTGAAACCATGTCGTGTCCAGTGGTGATTTTAATAAAATGAATTTATTTTTTAAACCAACCAACGTTCAGCATAAACAGCGGTTGTACAAAACACCTCGGCTCGGGGTTTTTATTCTAGTCAATAAATTTACTACGACACGCTGTGTTCCCTCCTGTGGTAACCCAATATTTAGGAATAAATTGCTAATCAGTGGGACTATGTAGGAAGGCAGGCCGGTCGAAGCGCGTGCACCGACTGCTCAGCGTGATCTTCGTCGGTGTACAGGTACGTGACTCGAGCGCGCCTAATAAGGCAGATTTTAGATAACTTTCGATTCAATCTGTCGGTCATCGTCTCAGTCGCACGAACAGCTGACAGATTCCCGATTGATAATTGACGGATACCTGAGATTTAGTCAAGTCTTGGAATATTGACGAAGACAGCCAGGTCAATTTATCAACAATTTAACAATACTTACTTAAATTTAGCTTTTGATAATATTCGCGTTTAAAACTAAAGATTTTATAATATTTGATACAGTATGCAGTAGCGGGAATCCATATAACCATCGACGTCCCTCGTCGTTGTCTTTGTCTTGTATCGAAGTATTTAATTTCTTCTTCGCTGATCGCTTCCTTTATGACGCCGGCGTTAATGACGAAATTCGTCACCAATTCGTGCATTTCAAGACTAGAAGCTTCTAGTTTCATCAAAATCTGCTCTAGTCATCCATTCCCTGTTGCCGTTTGGCTTTGCAAGAGTTGGTTGTAGTTAAAAGTAAATAAGTGTAGAAGAACGTGCCGATGGCGTGATTTGTTAAGGTAGACCTCACTTTACCAGGAAGTTACCTACACAATTAATTTCATGACCTCCATCTGCGTCACATATGAAATGACGCATGCAGAATCCAGTCTCCCATGTGTAGCTCTCTTCATCTGCTTGTTCATCCGTTGAGATCTGTTGTAATCATCATCCGTTTGTTCCACCGTTGAGATCTTTGTGGTTGGTCGTGCTAAATATTTTGACCTTGCTGCCACAGCTGGCCCTAACAGGAATTTAGAATCACACAATGGACCACGCAAGCCCCTTCACAGTGACAAGGAACGACGATCAGAAGGTATAAGTATAGTAATGACAGAACATCAGTTATATATGCTAGATAGAACTTCTTATTTTCCAAAGTAAACTACGTTATTCTTGTGGTGTGTTCATGTAAAACTTCGAGGATTTTCTGGTGATCAAATGGATATCATCTCGGAGTAAGAAATTGGTAAGCCTAGTTGAAATTTCACTCGAGTTATTTACATTAACTAACGCGCAATTACCCTTGGATATCCGGCCCCAGCTGCGGGTTAAATAGTAAGAAATATCTGTAAAAATAATCTCTATAATAGCACTATAATTTATGTTATATTTATTCGCAAAGAATACTTATTGTTAGAATCCAAAATATGCCGCTTTAAATAACACACAAAAGGTTGATAAACCGTAAAAAAAACTAATACATCTTTAACGCTGCTACTGCCATTTGTCTTTTTTCTGTCTCTGATGAACAATTCTCTATTCTGCCAGCACATCGAACGTGACTTGCCTTTGCTGGCCTCTCTGAATCTAAATTTATTAAGCCGGACACTTAATCTACAAATAGAAGACAATGAAATATCGGTACGAAGTTATCATTAATATACTTTTTCAAATGGACTCCTTTGTTCCAGAAAACACTTGACCAGTTTGTCACGAGTTCTGATAATATGGCTCCAGAAAAACAATTCTTCGAGGAAAATTTATCGATGGATATATTGCCATGGAAACCAAAAAAAAACAAAAACAAAAAACAAAAAAACAAAAAGAACTACATTGCTCGTTGTTCGGTTTAGCCGATATTTTCAGAAATCCCTTTGTCCGAATTTATTCTGCATATGAAATC